TTTTATTGGCATCTGAAAACGTGGTGCGGTTCTGCCACGATTTTCGCAAGTTAAATCACGCAGGAACTTCTTTTGGGCAACATACTTTGAGTTATGCAGTTTGATGCAATTGCAGCGTGATTTATCATGCAACAATTAAGGCAGAACCACACTGTGTTTTTAGGTGCCAATTTGTCATTTTAGGAGAGCTTTTTGAAATCACAGGCTGAATTGCAGTGTTTCTGCCCTCAATTCAAAACGCCTATGTGTGAATGCAGCCTTACCGCACAGTCGTCGCAGAATCGCACCATGTTTTGGTTCCACTGAAAATGAATGGCACTTGAACACTCATGGTGTGATTTGTCATTTTAGATCAGCAGTTCTGCTACAAAAGGCCCAGATGTGAACGGAGTCTGCACTCCAGTGCATTTTTGCCCTCTTATTTCTTTTCCCAAGGTTTCCTGCTTTTTTTTTACTCTAATGTATTCTGGTGCATTTTTGATGCACTTAGATGCCTCTGGTGCGACACATTCCCGTACAGTTCAGTGCAAAAAAAAATGCAGCATGTGCTAATTTTTTTTTACTGCATTGCAACACACTGCACTGGTGTGAACTTTGCCATTGGAACCCATAAAACCTACTGTCAATGCATTTTTGATGCAGAAAAAAAAAACACACCAGACTTCATCTGGTGCAAACCCATCCTTATGGTTTCAAATGTATCTAAGCCCCAACAACAATAAATAAATACATTTCAATTCCCCCTTTTGGTCATTGGCCAAATGTTGTGGTCATTCATCTTGTTAATTGGATTCTTGAAAAAAAAAAGCATAAATAAATACATTTCAAATTAGCAAATATTAGAGGTGATGGCTGCATTCGTTTTCATTTCTTAGGTTTTTTGTTGTCCTTTATATTTAACTGGTGATCCGGTCAATAAGTCTGTTATTGTGCATCTTGCTTTATAGCAGTATTAAACCCAAAAGTAAACATTTATTATACTGCAGCTTACCAATTCTTAGATGTGATGGCTGTATTATTTTTTTTAGGCTTTCTTTTCATCTGGAGATCCAGTTAGCAAGTCTGCTGTTTTTCAGAAGCTCAAGCTCTCCAGCATAATGTATCAGTTCACAGGGATGAGACAAACCACTTAAAGTGATTTTGAAGGCTGAAGGTTTTTTAGCTTCATGCATTGTTTGCATGAAGGTAAAAAACTGTTAGTATGCAACTCCTCCCATAGCCTCCCTAATACTTACTCAAACCCCATCGCGATCCAGCAATGTGCACAAGAGCAGGGGCTCTCCCGGGTCTCTGTCTCCTCATTGGCTCAGGCTCAGCAGCAGGAGCCATTGGCAAGTGCAGTTGCTTTAGAGCTTAGTAAATGAGGAAAAGCTTCACTTGGCAAAGTATACCCAATCACAGGCAAGGAAAATAATAAAACAGCCTTTGTGCTTGCACATGATTGGATCATGGAAGTCAGCAGAGCTTCTGCTCATTTAATAAGCACTGGAGCAACTTTGCAAAGTGCACAGTCTATTAGCCATTAATAAATCAACCCCTATATCTGCAGTGTCCTCTACCTGTTGCTCATACAGAACTAAATTTCATATTTTGAGAATAGTTTGGCTGAACTCAGAATACTGACACATGTAAGGTATAAGGATTCTCTCAGGCTTACATTAAAAAAAATTGCACATATCAGTCCTATAAAATTGCCCACCATCCCCCAAGACTAACATGCTGGCCCCACACTTGCATTTCAAAGTCTGATTTAGGCTGATGTGACAGTGTGGTGACCTGTCACAGTGTAGAAAGGATATTTCACCCGGGATTCTCAACAAGGCAGGTTTAGGGGCTCCAGGGTACTTGTTTAATACAGAGGAAACTGGCTTTTCATTTTCCTCATTTGTTTGTAAAGTCCATTTTGGGACCTGGAGCTTGGAGATTTCAAAGTGATTTGGGAGGGATGAAATCTCCAATCCTCAGACAAGGTTTTGGAAATGGCCAGGAGACTGATTGGTCGTGTGTGTGGGCCTCTTCTAGAGTCAGGACCAGGGTTCTGGGCTCCACTCTCCCGGGGAGGGGCTCCTGTAGTGAGCTATTCTTCCTAGGAAAAGGTCCACCTCCATGTTTGCCTGTGGCGGAGCAGTTCATATTATATCTTTTCGGCTGCTTCTTGGTTCCCTGATATGATGTGCATACATGCTATTTACCAGTAGCTTTCTGGTGAGTTTACATCTGGCAGAGGTGGTGGATTCCCTCACTTGCTTATCATCATGTTTTATCTTTCACCTACGATTGCTGTGCCTTGTAGTCCTACAGACATTAATATATGTTTATGGACTATATTACCATATTTGTTGCACTTATTTGATTATTATCACATTTTGTCTTTCACTGTGATTGCTGTGTCTTGTAATTCCATAGACATTATTATATTTACAGACTATTTTATATATTTTTTCCACTTTATATGGTGCACTTGATGGTTCCACCTGATATTATATATTTATTATTTTAGAGCTGCACTTTCATACTATATAACTTTATGACTACCCACATAATACTGAGTAGGTCCCCCTTTTGTCACCAAAACAGCTCTGATCCATCAAGGTATGGATACCACTAGACCTCTGATGGTATGCTGTGGGCTATTCACAACAGCCTTCTACCATGTGACAAGCTGTGACCAATCACAGCTCACACAGTATTTCTCAATGGCTGCAAGAATGGCAGCCAGAGAGAAGGAGAAATGATTGCTTTTACAGCCTTTATGGGTGTAAAAGCAATCAGCGTAAAAAAAAAATAGAAATCTTCCATCACCCCCCACAAGTAGTACTGTGTCACCATGGTGACACTGTACTGCTAGGGTGACAGTATGTAAAACAAAAACAAAAAACATAAATAATAATATAAAAAAAATAAAATTAAAATGTAACATTTTTTAAAAACAATTATAATTTTTGGTTATAAACTAATTTGGGTTATTTTTTTTTACTAAAAGATAACTGAATAAATTTTGGCCAAGATTTATGATGAAATATTTATTTGCAAAATTTTATAAGAAAAAAAAAACTTTTTTTCTACATTTTTGGACTTTTTCATTTATATAGTAAAAAAAAATAAAAATCCCAGTGGTGAATAAATACCACCAAAATAAAGCTTTATCTGTCTCAAAAAATGCTAAAAAATTCACATGGGTACAGTGTTGCATGACCACGCAGTTGTCATTAAAGTGTGACAGCTCTGAAAGCTGAAAATTGGCCTGGACAGGAAGGGGGTAAAAGTGTCTTGGAGTGTCTTGAAGTGGTTAAGTCCTGTAAGTTTGCAAGGTGGGGACTGCATGGATTGTACTTGTTTTTTCAGTATATCCCACAGATGCTCGATGGATTGAGATCTGGAGAATTTGGAGGTCAATTCAACACATGAAGCTCTTTGTTTTGTATTCCTAAAACCATTCTTGAGCCATTTATGCATTGTAGCAGGACATATCCCGCTGAAAGAGGTCACTGCCATCAGGGAATACTATTCCCATGAAGGGTTGTACTTGGTCACCAACAATGTTTAGGTAGGTAGTACTTATCATGTAATAGCCACATGAATGGCAAGACCAAAGTTTCCCAGCAGATCATTGCCCAAAGCATCATACTGCCTCCACAAGCTTACCTTCTTCCCATACTGCATCCTACTGCCATCTCTTCCCCAGTTAAACGATGCACACGTACTCGGCCATCCACAAGATGTAAAATAAATTGCAATTCATCAGACCAGGCCACCTTCCTTCATTGCTGTGTCGTCCAGTTCCAAAGCTCATGTGCCCATTGTAGGTACTTTTGGCTGTGGACATGGGTCAGCGTGGGCACCCTGACTGGTCGTCCATACACAACAAACTGCGATGCCCATTTTTTCTGCTTGTTTCAACACATCAACATCAGGGACAATATGTTCACTTGCTGCCTAATATACTTTTTACCACCAATTTTCATGTACCATTGTAACAAGATAATTAATGTTATTCATTTAACCTCTTAGTGATCATAACGTTATAGCTGATTGGTTTGTATCTACATTTTTATAGGGAAGATTTGTCTCACTTTTCTGTCCAGGTGAATCAAAACAAAACTAAAAAAAAAATGTATAAAAACCTGACAAATCATTTTAGCCCTTCACAACCAAAAAAAAAAAATTAAAAACCATGCAGTAAGCTTGCACCGCATGAAGCATACCTGTAACACAAAACTGTTCTTTTCTTTCCAATGTGACTCCATTGGAAAGGATACAATGACTTTCTGTCATGTGACATTAACAGAAGAATTGCAGAAGGGGCAGACTGTGATTGTCACCTAGGAAAGCTATGGTTGTCAGGCGTTTTACCCGTCCCCACTCTATTAAAAATTTGTTTTTTTTCCCATGTTCCCATTTGAAGTGTTACTATACCCACAACAGTAAAAAAAATCAGTCTGTATATGTAGTAAAGCATGCTTGTTATACTCACTTTGGAACCTAAGGGGTTAATCCTTTGCATTGTGTAAAAAAGTCGATTGATCCTGTTTTCTCTGCCCCTCCTTTTGTTCAAATGTCCATCTGATAAGACAGACTGAACCCGTAGCCACATGCACATGCTCAGTTTGGTGTGTATTGCTAGAGAGTTTTTTTTTCTTGGGAGAGTGCATGTGATCAGCAGAGGGCCAATCAGCACTGTTTAGACATAGGGTCAGGGGTTTTGCATCCTCCTAGATGCAGAAAGAAAACTCCTACTACAAGCTTTAACCAGTGCTCTGCTGAAGTTACAAGACTGCTATATACTGCTGATGAGAAAAGATATTTAGCAGTTTATATTTACTAAAATAATTGCACTTCCATGTTCTGTGTACTGTGGGAGACCAGATATAGTGAATGCAGGGTCCTGGGTTTAGTAACACTTTAACCACCTCCCGCCTGCCATATAGTAATATGACAGATTCAAGGCGGTTCTCTCTTTCTGGGAGGACGTCATATGACGTCCTCCCATTCTAACCGCGTATGCGCGGCTCCTTGGACACAGCGGATCACCGATCCAAGGAAAGAGCCGAAGATGTCGGCTCGGTCATGTGATCAGCTGTGTCCAATCACAGCTGATCACATGTAAACAGGGAAATGCCGGTTATCGACATTTCTCTCCTCTCAAGCTGTCACACTGACAGCTCGATAGGAGAGGAGAGCTGGTAATCGGCATTTTGCAGAGGGGACATGTACACTGAGATCAGACCACTGATGATCAGTGTGCCCTGATGATCAGTGTAGCCCCAGCAGTGCCACCTGTCAGTGTCCATCAGTGCCAGCTGTCAGTGCCTCATCAGTGCTACGTGCCAGTGCCCATCAGTGCCACACCAATGCCACATATCAGTGCTTACCAGTGCACATTAATGCCAAATATCAGTGCCTATCTGAGCTGCCTTTCAGTGTCACAAATCAGTGCCAGCCAGTGCCACCTATCAATGCCAATCAGTGCCACCTATCAGTGCTGCCAATCAGTGCCACCTATCAGTGACAGCCAGTGCCGCCTATCAGTGCCAGTCAGTGCTGCCTACCAGTTTGCATCAGTGCCACCTAACAGTGCCAGTCGGTGCTGTTTATCAGTGCCACCTATCAGTGCCATATATCAGTGCTGCCTTTCAGTGCCCATCAGTGATGCCTGTCAATACCCAACAGTGCCACCTACCAGTGCCTCCTCATCAGTGCCCATCAGTGCCACCTATCAGTGTCCATCAGTGCAGCCTATCAGTGCCCATCACTGCAGCCTCATTAGCGCACATCAATGAAGGAGAAAAATCACTTATTTACAAAATTTTATAACAAAACTAAGAAAAAACTTTTTTTTTTCAAAATTTTCAGTGGTTTTTGGTTTGTTTAAGAAAAAAATAAAAAACCCAGAGGTGATTAAATACCACCAAAATAAAGCTCTATCTGTCACAAAAAAAATGATAAAAATTTCATATGGGTACAGTGTTGCATGACCATCATTCAAAGTGCTACAGCGCTGAAAGCTGGAAATCGGCCTGGGCAGGAAGGGGGTATAAGTGCCTTGTAGGCAAGTGGTTAAGAGATTTTCCATCACTTCCTGACCTGGCAAGAAAGAAGTTAGGGGAAATATCCTCAGTAGGGACATAGCGGTTGATGTACTAAACATGGTGCACTCAGAATTTGGTGCAGCCAGTGTCGGATTTATTAGTGGTCAAAAGGAGCAATTGCCTTGGGCCCCCCCCCCCCGGCCTCAGACTTCCTTTATTAAAAAAATGAAATAATTGAAAAATGAGTTTCATTATTAAAAAAAATTAACAAAGCTTTACAAAGTGTGTGTGTGAGTAGGAGTCAGGATACAGAACAATTAAGCCAGACTTCAGAGGCATAGAAAGGGATGAGGGCTTCTGGCTTCTGTGATGTATGACGTGCAAGTTCCAATTACCTGTGTAATGTGTATTCTTACAGTCAATATAATTGAATCAGATACGTGTCTTCTTCAGAACCTAATTTATATTCTTTTAGAACAAATACAGTTTATCATTCATTTCAGTTCACTTTTTTATTTGTTAGATAATTTAATTTCTTTGTTGAGAGGCTCCAAAACTTGAAGTGCCCTGGACCCCCCAAAGTCTAAATCTGGCACTGGGTGCAGCTGTGCATGGTAACCAATCAGTTTCTAACTTCAGCTTGTTAAGTTAATCTTTGACAATAAAACCTGGATGCTGATTGGTTCCTATGTAGAGTTGCTCCAGACTTTGCCTGCCCTAGTTTTAGTAAATCAACACTATAGTCAGCAATAAATGACAGAGGTTCTAACCCTTCATTTTGCAATGCAAAGTGAAATCAAACCTTTTGACTGAAGATGGGCTTTATTGAGCAAATATGGCTGTACTCCTGTACCTAAATAATTATATACGAAACTTAGAAAAAACATTTTTAAAACACTAAAATGCCTGTAAAGTTTCAGGCCTTTCGTGTATGAAAATTGCAATATGTCTTTACCTTTCCATTTAACATGCTTTCAAACCGTTTAAGTGGGAACAAATAACAGGTCATATTTCAAGGAAATCCTTGCTAGCACAAGGCACTCAATCATCTGTTTCAGATCTGATTCACATACTGGAAGTCATGTCAGGGTTATCCTTATTATGTAACCAGTTTATGGTAGAGCAAAAAGACTGCAAAGATTTCTGTAATGACAATGGACATCTATAAATCTTCAGACATGAGAGGTCCTTGAGGATTAGGTCAGGAGAGTCGGGTAATAACACCAACACACACAGTGCTGCTGGAAATGAACATACGAGTTAAAATATTTAAAAATGAGCATTGTTTCCAGAATTTGTTGCTATCAATATTTATCCGTTATTTGGCTTTCTATGGCAAAGTCATCCACTGAATACAGCACTTTGCAAGATGTACTTGAAACTATATCTAATGTGCATTTATGCATATTTATGTTTTTCGGAGCCAAGTTAATTTCTCTTCCATGAAACGCTCATCAGGCATCTTTACAAACCTTTTATGAGATTCAAGGTTTCCTGGTACAAGCTCTTCCCCTTGCTAAAGGCTCATGGGAGTTCCAAGGCTACTCACTTTAATTAAAATAACTGTATAGTGTTAATTGATATGACAAGTAACATCAACAGAAATATCCAATAACAACAGAGGTGATTTTGTACATCAGTTGTTAGTCAATGAAAGGACAGTAAAGGAATTAATATAAAAGGGTAAGTAGTCAATAAAAGAGTAGGATTACTAGAGGGGAGACATATGATGCATAGAAGGGGGGCTCAGGGCTCTCTTGCTTCTAAGACTGTATGGGAACTCAGTGGTTGATATATTTGTTCTGTATTTCAGATTCACTGGATAATGAAGATGACTTCTGAGTGCACAAAGGACTATAAATGACTACTTTGCACTCAATAAATGCCAAGGCTCCAGGCAGCTGCATCAGCATCAAACTGTGCACAGAAAAAAGCTTAATTATCATTATATTATAGTTAAAAGCTGGTGGCAGTGGTATTTAAATGAGTAATTTCTCACTCATCAAGCCACCAGAAGGATTAAAAGGAAAACCAGTTGTTGAGCTATTTTTACTGTATTGAACAATATAGAGGTTAGATATTTTAGGTCGGTGTGTCGTAATATGACAGTACATACACCAAGCAGCCATAACTCTGTGATCACTGACAGGTTAAGTGAATAGCATTGATTATCTTATTACAATGGCATCTGAAAGTTGGTGGGATATGTTAGGCAGCAAGTGAACATTTTGTCCCTGAAGTTGATGTGTTGAAAGCAGAAAAAAATGGGCATCTCAATTTGTTCTTTATGGGGCTGTATATCAGCAGAGCGGTCAGGGTGCCCATGTTGACCTGTGTCCACAGACAAAAATACCTACAATGGGCACATGAACATCAGAACTGGACAGCAGAATAATGGAAGAAGGTGACCTAGTCTGATGAACCACATTTTCTTTTGTATCATGTGGATGGCCAGGTGCATATTTATTTATCTTGGGAAGTGATGGCACCAGGATGCATTATGGGAAAAGGGCAAGCCAGTGGAGGCAGTGCAATGGTCTGCTGAGAAACCTTGGGTCCTGCCATTCATGTGGACGTTACTGTGATATGTACCACCTACCTAAACATCATTGCTGGCTGAGTATACCTCTTCATGGAAACAGTGTTTCCTGATGGCAATGACCTCTTTCAGCATTATAATGCCCCTTGCCACACTGCACAATTGGATCAAGATTGGTTTGAGGAACACAAGTTTGAAGTGTTGATTTGGCCTCCAAAGTCTCCAATCTCAGGCCAACCAAGCATCTGTGGGATATGCTGGAAAAACAAGTCTGATCTACAGAAGCCCCACCTCAAAACTTACAGGTCTTAAAGGATCTGCTACTTATAGCCTGGTGCCAGACACCACAGCATACCTGCAGAGTTCTAATGGCGTCCGTGCTTCAACAGTGAGGGCTATTTTGACTGCAAAAAAGGCTGTTTTGCCAGCAAAAGGGGGATATACTCAATATTAGGTAGGTGGTCATAACATTATGGCTGATTGGTGTATATCTTTCATGATACTAATTTAGCTCATTTAACTACCAGCTTTTTCTCTGTGATTATTCTACTGAAGTCTCCATACATTCCCATCAAATGCACAGTATTGGATTCTAGATCAGTATGACAGGTCTAGTACTTGGTGAAAGGCCCTTTGTGCCATTTATCTTATTTCCTGTGACAATGGACATATGGCACATTCTGCTCATAATACGATAAAAGCATCTTACCTGAATGCCACATTTTGTCTTTGTTATCTGTACAAACAATAGTTAACTGTTACATTTAAGGAAATGGCAGTGACACCATTTTTTAAAAATATATTGCAAAGACCTTATTCCTTTGACTTCCTGCTTGCAGACTGGGCTTAATGGGAAATATGAAGTATTCGGGAGATCAAAGCAATCCTTCCTATTACGTGACCGAAAAAGCAGTTCTTAAATCTCCTATGCGCACTTTATAGATCAACTCAGAGCTGTTCCATTCTCATTTGCTAGTGACTATTTTTAAGTGAAAGCCTTCTCTGAACATGTTAGTGTTTTAATGACTCATTTAACACTTGTGAGCGCATATGTGACATTAAGATGCAAGTAAAATATTGTACAGTTGTTTAACAACTAATTTTGCACAAATCTTTTATATAAGAATGTAAAAAGTTTTTGTCTCAAAACTAATGTAGGGGTAAATGTATCGGCTACTGATTTCAATCTTTACGTATTTTATGTGTTTTTGTAAGTTAATGAGACTGCAGTTTTTCAAAGAAAAAAACAGCCATTAAGGAAGTATCAGGATCGGAGGAGGATAGGGGAGTAATGTATTTTACTTGCATAAAAAACATTACAGTATCCTAGTACTACTGTTTTTATTATGTCATTGTAATAAATAAATTGAAATTATTTTAGAAACTACTGCTGTACCTACTGTATGACACCTTGAAAACCTGAGGTGTAGTTCCCAAACTGGATAAGGATCATACTATTTGCCCAATTACAGACCAATAACTTTACTGAACTCTGACTTGAAGATATTCACCAAGCTTTTAGCCCTTAGACTGACCAAGGTTCTGCCATTGTTAATCCACAAAGACCAGGTTGGCTTTATGCCATTTAGACTTGCTGGACAACACTACAAAGATTATTGACCTCATCGATGTGGCCAACAGAGAGAAAAGGGAGGCCCTGTTATATAGCCAACACTCAGAAAAGGCCCTTGATAGGCTGAGCTGACCTTTCTACTTTGCTATAACATGGTCCTTTCTTACAAGCTATCAGACATCTTTACAACTCCCCACCACCTTTGTTGAGACCCCACCCACATTCAACCTCTTGACCCTTCACTATATCCAATGGCATGAGACAGGGCTGCCCACTCTCCTTGCTTTTATTCCCCTTTTGTATTGAGCCATTGGAGGCCCATATCAGAAAAGACCCCAACACCCAGAAACAGGG